ACTTGTACTAGTTGATGGCTACAAAAAAATTTTTAACTATTAATACTGTATTTAAAAATTTTTTAAGTTATATTTTTTAGTTTACTGTAATTAACCTTGATTTTATTTGTTTGAGACTGCTACTTCTCTTTTTGCTGCCAAGTATAATGTTGATTTTCACTTGAATTATCATCTGAATTAACAATTTCAATAATTTCTGAGGCTAGTGTGTTCTTAGAACACTCTCTAATTTCAGAAATATATAACAATTCATTATAAAACCTTTCAATTTCAGAATTATATAACAATTCATTATAAAACTCTTGTTTGTCATTATCATTATTATATTGTAATTTATTTGTATCATCTTGCATTTCACCTGCAATATCCTGCATTTCGTTTGCATCATCCTGCATTTTACCTGCATCATTCTGCATTTCATCTATATCGTTGATTTCCTGTTTTTAAATTTTTTTTAAATCTGAATTTAATTTTACTTAGATATTCTGTTATAATTTAACTTAATATTTTAATTTATTTAAATCTAAAAGTCAAATCTAGTTAATACTCTACCTCTTGTGACTCCTCAAAATATATTTCATCCAGTTCTGATTCTATCTCTTGTGACTCCTCAAAATATATTTTGAGTTCTAATTTTGCTGTTTCGCTATTGATTTTAGAAACAACAGTTGATTGAGAATCTTTAGATACTAAACTGTGATTATTCAATGATTCTTCATTTCCTAATATATTAGCTAAATTAGTATCACAATGAGGAAGCTATCTAAATACTAATTTATAAGGGATCAATTTATGCACAGTACAATACTGAGTGTTCATAGCCCCTAAATAATTATAATAATATTAAAATTTAATTAAATAATAATAAATAATGAATTAATTAAATAGATAATATTAAAAAATAATAAATATATAAGAAATTAAATAAACAAATAAAAAAAAATTAAAATATAAAAAATAATATAAATTAAATAAAAAATAAATAAAAAATTTGTTATTTCATGTAGTAAAAATTAAAATTAATTATAATAGATAAAAAAAATATATACAAATAACAAATTTTAACCCAATACTCCAATCATTATGAGCTGTCTCTTCCATCCAGGCACCTAATTTGGATTGAAGAATGCCATTTCCTTTTTCTACTATTTCTTGACAATGTGGGTTTCTTGGTCTACTATAGATCAATTTGATAGTAGGCCAGAGACTTAATATCTCATTAATAACATTAGCAACAAACTCGCCACCATTGTCAGAGTATAATATTATGGGAGAGCCGTACATCATGCAAAAATTGAATAAGCAAGCCACAGCTTCTTCAGCTGTCTTAGATTGTGAAAGCTCCACATATGAAAACCTGGAAAAATGATCCCTAATATGAAAAATATATTTATATATTCTGTCAAGTGTCAATGTCATGTCAATTGTATCTATCTACAAATAAATTTTTTTAATTAATTAAAAAAAATAAAAAATCAAATAAAAAACATGCAATAACTTTTATCTGCACATGATGCAAAAATCTTTTAAAAACTATTGGACAAATTGGTGGAACCTTTATAAAAGCATGTCTAGTAATGCAAACTTTACATTCACAAATAGCATCTTCAACTATTTTTTGTAGGATAATACAATACGTATATGAATCTTTTTATTTGCATATAAAAATTAATAAATAAGTAATGAATAAAACAAATAATAATAGGTAATAAAATACAATTAATAAATAAAAAAAAACCTTTCACCACGTTTTGTCTCGACCAGCATGCTCTGTTGCTTGGTGCATGGTACAGATTATTTTATAAAAGTTTTCAATAGGACAAACTTGCATCTCCAGATCATTTTCAATTAGTTTAATAGTATGAAGTTCTTCAGTCGCACCAACATAAAGAAGTTTAAAATTATTCGTTACCCAATATTTAAATTGTAGCTTGTGTAAATCATTAGAATTTTTAAATACAGTTAAATATTGATTATATTTATTTTGATCCATTAAATAGCGATTGTTTTTCCTTTGACGAATAAAAGTTTCTAATATTTAATCGAAGGTTTCACGTACCAGAAAGTTGTATCATTCCATTTTTAAGAAAAAATAAGAAAGTTGTATTTAAAATTGCGGTTCAATGAATATTTATTTTCATTCATTTTTTGTATTAATTAATTTAACATATGTAATACATTTGTAATATAGTATAATGAAATTAAATAATTCTGAGTTATAAATTTTTATTAAATTTTGAAGTATGATTAATCATCTGTGACAAATAATCATCAATTATGTAAATAAATTAGTTGATGCTTATTTGTCACACCAATGATTAGTCACACCCTGATTCTTGAAATTTCGTCAAAAATTGATCTAGTTCATTTTGAAATCGGTGAAAATTCAAGAATGATCATAGATTAATTTGGAATTGATCAAAATCATGAAATGAGCCAGAACATATACACTAATGAAAAAAATTCCATATTATTGCCGCAGTTTATTATTAAAATATATAGTGTGATACATAAAAATTTTACACGACTTGCATTTATTAAAATTCATTTTATTAAAATTGTTATGCCCAGAAATTACAAATTGTATATTGCAAATTTAATTAAAAATGTCCTTTTTGTTATCAGATTCGAATGATTCATGTGATTATAAAAGGTGTGTATAAAATATAATACTGCTTGATTAGTAATAGATTTTAAAGATAGTTGGCCTGATAACCTTGAAATACTGGATCTAAATGTTGGTTTCTTGCTAAATTAGATTTCATTGAAGTTGGGGTAGATGTTGAATTACTCGAACCTACAAATGATAGTATAATTAAAATATACTATGAGTAATAAATTAGTAATTAGAATAATACATACCCGAATTCTTATAATATTGTTCTAGCCCATTATTAAGTATAAATATTTCTGCTACCGTCATTATGTTTGAATTTAAAAAAAACAGATCAAATCAATGAATACTATATTATTTTATAATAACTAGAATAATGTTAATTTTTCATTTTACATTCCATAGATTTTAAAATTTCCGGTTAGTTGGTTGGATTTTTTTTTTGATATCAATATACAGTAAATTAGTAATAATAATCTTCTTGTGATCTTAATATAGTGATTGGGGATTAATAGACTTATGTTCACATCTAAAATCACTAAAGTTAATTTTCACTTTGTATAATATGGAATCAGAAATTGGGTTGGAAGTCGAATTTTTTCTATTAGTATCAGGTGATACTGGAGTAATTTATGAAAAAAATTAAAGAATAATTAACACAATTGAGGTCTAAAAAAAAAAATTGAAAGAAATAAACTAGAGAGTAATGCAAAATGAAAAAACAACTTTGTGTGATCTAATAAATACCATCATAAATTTCAGTATTGTCTTTATAATGCTTTTTGGATTTGTAAGAGTCCCATATATTGCACAGTTTAATGGCTAAATATTTTTTCAATTATCATGTATAAGAAACATAGATATTATAATTTTATATTTCTTTCTGTTTATTTATTTTAACCATATGAAAAATTCACAAGGAAAGTCTTTGAACTTATAATTGAGTATGTTCTATATCTGTCAACTGCCCATAACCATTTTGCGATACATTTATCTGCATTTGTACTCTCAAGAATTTAAAGGGCTTTAAAAAGTCTTTGTTGGTTGGTAGTTTATTATGTGATATTGAAGTATTAAAGAAAGAGTTGAATCAAAACAAAATCGCACCTTAATTATTATATACCTATCATTAGAATTATCAATGTTTATTATTAATCAAAGAGAGTTTATTTGGGGTTCTTTCAGTGTATACACCATACCTGCCAGATAAACTAGCTATTTGGCATGATGTGACAGATACATGGGTATTTGGAAGGATGATAGCAATCAGTGTTTAAAATTCAGAACAAAACCTATTTGCACAAATGCAGTTTTGTCATAGGTTTTAATTGCACAAATCAATTACTAGTTGCACACATGTGCATATAATTTTTATTTTTATATGCACATATTTATTATCTCTGAGTGATGCCTATGTTATAAAATTACTATACAAAATATATCTTAAATTTTTTGTGAAATATTTCAGATATTTTCTCTAAATTTAAGCTCAACCTTGCTTCTTTTCAGAATTTTTCAGATTATTATTATCTATCTCATATTTTATATTTAGACTAAATTTTTGTGCAATAAAATTTTATAATTATTGCACACTTGTGCATATACATTTAGACCGTCTTTTGCACAAAAAAAAAACTACCTCACATGTGCATCTTGTGCAAGGTAATTTTAAACACTGATAGCAATGTACGTACGTACGTACGTACAGTAGTCACCAAAAGTAACACCCGATTTATTAGGTAAAAATAAAATTTTTATTTATTTTATTTTTGCATTACAAAACATTAAATTTTTTTTT